TCCTTTTTCAAAGATCAAAATACTGCCTCATAAAGTGGTGATAACGTCAATTTCAACAGTTTCAAATGAACATTTACTCTGTTATTTCCAAAAAAAAAAAAAAAAAAAAAAAAAAAGTGGCCACATTTGTTTGTGTGTAATATGTATTAGTTATTAAGGGAAGCTTTCAAAGATTACCGGAGTTTTGTATTCTTTCCTGCTAGCTCATCTTTTTTGTTTTCTTAGGTGAGTTTAGGACAGTTTGTTGTTTCTGATGCAAGTTAGAGCGTCAGTCACAGTTAACATGTGTGGGGGGGTTGTCATTTTATGTGTCTTTTTCCTCTTTTTTTTTATTTTTTTTTTCTCAATGAATATACTCTATTGCAGTGCTCATGCTATTGCATTTCCACTCGATATGGCACAAGCTATTTTGTTTATTTCATGTTACCAAACTATAACATCTGGAAACAAACATTTTTGACCTAATGGAAGAACTAGACTCTATTAGATTTACGTCCTGGAATGTAAAAGGACTTGGTGGACCCGTCAAGAGAGCGAGAGTCTTTTCACATCTTAAGCAACTCAAATCAGAAATAGTTTTTCTTCAAGAGACCCATATGTGTGTCTGTGATCACACCAGGCTGCGGAAGCCCTGGGTTGGACAGGTGTTTCATTCAAGTTTTAATAGCCGATCTAGAGGCACTGCAATATTAATACACAAAAAAATACGGTTTTCGCCTGATCAGATTCTACCGGACCCAAATGGACGTTATATTATTGTTGTTGGCAAATTGCTCCAAACTCCAGTTATTTTGACATGTGTTTATGCCCCCAACTGGGACTGTCCTAGCTTTGTTACAAACCTACTGTCGCTAATCCCTTGCTTAAACACACACCACCTGATCTTTGGAGGGGATTTGAACCTGGTGGCCCAGCCCAATATGGATAAATCCAACCCTAAAAACACAGCTCCGTCGAAGATGGCCAGGGCCCTGATTGATGTAATGAATCAGAAAGGTTGTATAGACGTATGGCGCCATAATCATCCAACAAGGAAAGAATTTTCATTTTTCTCACACGTACATCAGAGCCATTCTAGGATTGACTACTTCTTTTTAGACAAAATGTTGCTACCTGCGGTGAAATCATGTGAATATTCTGCTATAGTCATCTCAGACCATGCTCCTCTTTTGTTAGACGTTCAGCTTATTCCCAAAAGTGCAAATAGGCCGACTTGGCGATTTAACGCAGGATTGTTATCTTCGGATGCATTTTGTAAATTTATATCTGAGAAAATATCTCTTTTTATTCAAACTAATAAAACTGAATCCACTTCTGCATCCCTTTTGTGGGAAACTCTTAAAGCAGTATTACGTGGGGAGATTATTTCCTATTGTGCCAGAGTGAACAAACAGGAAAAGCAAAAGCAAGAGGAATTACTGGAAGCAATTCGTCTCATTGATAACCAACATTCTTCCAACGCATCACTCCGTACAGAGAGACTAAAGCTCCAAACTGAATTTGACATGATTACCACCAGCAAAGCAGAGTCACTTCTAAGACGTACAAGATACACATATTATGAACATGGTGACAGAGCGGGTCGACTGTTAGCATTGACAATCAAACGACAAGACTCATCTCGATTTATTTCACAGATCTGTAAAGACCCACATACAAAAATCACTGACCCATTAGAGATAAATAAGACTTTTTGTCAATTTTATTCTAACCTTTATAAATCTGAGGCTCAGTTGGACAAAACTCAAATGAACGCCTTTTTGGATGATCTTAATTTCCCTCAAATTCCCAATACAACTAAAGAGAATCTTGATTCTCCTCTTTCTTTGGATGAAATCATAGCCAACCTTAAGCGAATGCAAAATGGCCGCGCGGCGGGCCCGGACGGCTTCCCAGCAGACTTTTTGAAGAAGTTTTCTGACCAACTTGCTCCTCTGCTACTTGAAATGTTTAACGAATCACTGGAATGTGGGAACCTCCCTCCAACTTTAACGCAAGCCTCAATATCACTTATTCCAAAACCAAATAAAAACTTGGAGGAGTGTAGTAGCTGGAGACCCATAAGCCTCCTCAATGCTGATGTTAAGCTACTTGCTAAGACTCTGGCCAGCCGTCTGGACCCCTGCCTACCAAATATAATTTCCAGTGACCAAACTGGCTTCATAAGAGGTCGTCAGCTATCTACAAACATTCGTCGGTTGCTCAATATTATCCTTTCAGAATCCAATGTTGGGGAGGCTGAGTTGGTAATATCGATGGATGCAGAAAAAGCTTTTGACCGGGTGGAGTGGGGTTATTTATTTTCTGTTTTAAGCAGATTTGGGTTTGGTGCAAAATTTATATCATGGATACAATTATTGTACAACGCACCTACTGCCAGTGTGACTACCAACTCCACCCGGTCCGAATACTTCCCTTTAACACGTGGCTGTCGACAGGGGTGCCCTTTGTCACCTTTGTTATTCGCCCTAGCGATTGAACCCCTGTCGATGGCCATTAAGAGCTCTCCATTCATCTCTGGTATCTGCCGAAATGGAATTGAACACAGAGTTTCACTTTACGCTGACGACCTTCTGCTCTATTTGTCTAATCCCACTACCAACATTAACCATATTCTTGAAATTCTTCAAATATTTGGCTCATTTTCAGGCTATAAACTGAACTTGAATAAAAGTGAATGTTTTCCTGTGAATAATGCAGCAAAGAATATTTCAAGCCAAACATTGCCCTTTCGAATAGCCCCTACTAGTTTTCGCTACTTAGGCATTAACATCTCACATGACCTCAACTCACTTTATAAAAATAACATAATGAAAATAATCAAAGAGGTAAAATCAGATCTTAAACGTTGGAACGCTCTCCCACTGTCCCTATTGGGTAGAATTAACACTATAAAAATGAATGTGGTTCCTAGAATTTTATTCCTTTTCCAATGCTTGCCGATCTTTCTGCCAAAATCTTTTTTTAAAGAATTAGATAGAAACGTTTCAACTTTTATTTGGTCGGGTAAAACCCCAAGGGCAAAATACTCTAACCTACAAAGAAGTAAAGGTGACGGAGGTCTTGGGCTCCCAAATTTTTTGATATACTATTGGGCTGCCAATATTCAAAAAATTTACATGTGGTACAACTTTCCTGAGATAGATTGGTGTCAAATGGAAGCTCGCTCATGTAGCTCTGTCGCTCTAACAACTTTAGTTTGTGCTCCTCTGAACTCCTCTCCTATTAATTATACCACAAACCCGGTTGTCTTATCTACAGTAAAGATTTGGAGGCAGTTCAGACGCCAATTTAAAATGACCTCAGGTTCTCCTTTAATGCCCATTTGTGGCAACCACCTATTTCAGCCCTCAAATTATGACACAGTTTTTACTCTGTAAGGACAAGGGCTTGGTTTGTTTTAAACATTTGTTTGAAGATAAAGTTTTTATTTCCTTTGAGTCTCTCAAAACAAAATTTGGGCTACCACAATCTCACCTGTTCAGATACTTCCAGGCCCGCAATTTTGTCAGCCATAATTTTCTTGATTTCCCCCATGAGCCACCAGATACCCTAATAGAAACAATCTTATCTTTCCCCACAGCCTGTAAAATTATTTCATCTGTGGTAAAGATTACTGTTGCCCCATCTCCCTTAGCAATTCGGAACATCTGGGAATCAGAACTTAACGTCACTGTCTCAGATGAATGGTGGCAATTGGCCTTGGAAAAGGTCAACAATACCACTCCCTGTGCCAGTTTGACTCTAATACAGTTTAAAGTTCTGCACAGAACGCATTTGACCAAAGTCAGACTTAACAAATTATTTGGCACTGGTGACACATGTGACAGATGCTCTCTTTCACCTGCTAATCATTTGCACATGTTTTTCTCCTGTGTTAAACTGGGACATTTCTGGTCGTCTTTTTATGATATACTATCTAAAGTTCTTAACCGACCTGTGATTTCCAGCCCTTTTATTTCTATTTTTGGTGTACCTGAGAACTTTGCAAATTTCTCCATCAGGGAGAGAAATGTCATTGCTTTCTCTTCTCTTGTGGCTCGCAGACGAATCTTACTTCATTGGAAAGATCCAAAACCACCATCTTCTAAATCATGGATGAGAGACCTTATGTCCTTCATTCACTTGGAGAAGATCAAATTCAGTATTAGAGGGTGCACAGATAATTTTAATAAGACCTGGGGTCCTTTTCTATCTTTGGTCAATGCCATGTCATCCCTAGAGGACTGATAAGTCTGGTGACTCATGGAGCAGGATGATAACAATTTATACTCCTCTTACACTGTATTTCAACTTTTAAAGTACTGAGTATATATATTCATTGTATTTTTGTTTTATGTGTTTATTTACTTTTTTATTTGTCTGTAACTTTATTTGTCATTTATTTTCATTTTCTTGTGGGGGGAACACTGTTTTGTTGTTTTAAAAAAAAAAAGACCAACTTTTTTGAAACACTTGGAAAATGTACATTTTTGCTGAAAACTGAATAAAAAGAAGTTTAAAAAAAAAAAAAAAAAAAAAAGTGGTGATAACGTATTCTCTTTCGGCGGGTGGGGAGGAACATTTCGACAAAGGGTGCACTTCTCGACAGGACACCGGGTCTCCCTAAACTGAGAGAAGTCTGCTTGTGTCCAGTAAAGGAAGTGACGTAACAGGGGCTCCTGAAGGAGGGGCTGAGCAGGGAGGTCTGCGGGGGGATGGGGAGTCTGCAGCCAGACTCTTGGAAACTCCAGCTTGACTTAGCAACATGTCTTCACGTTGAGCACTAGGCTTTGCTAAGCTAGCGGGTTAGCATCGTCCATCTGTATACAGTCTATGTTAGCAGTAGCATCTGTATACAGTCTGTGTTAGCATTAGCATCTGTATACAGTCTGTGTTAGCATTAGCATCTGTATACAGTCTGTGTTAGCATTAGCATCTGTATACAGTCTGTGTTAGCATTAGCATCTGTATACAGTCTGTGTTAGCATTAGCTGCTACACAATAAAGTTCTCTCTGACCTTTAACCCTGAGGCTCCAGGACGTCCCTCGGTTCCAGAGTCTCCCTGAAACAAAAACAATACAACTTTATATTTTAGCAAAGTGGATTTTCTACTTAAAGCTGAGGTATGTAACTTTCAGACCACAATAGAACTCTGTAATAATCACATGGGAGGGACCAGAGAGAGACCAGAGAGAGACCAGAGAGACCAGAGAGAGACCAGAGAGAGACCAGAGAGAGACCAGAGAGAGACCAGAGAGAGACCAGAGAGAGACCAGAGAGAGAGACCAGAGAGAGACCAGAGTGAGACCAGAGAGAGACCAGAGAGATACCAGAGAGACCAGAGAGAGACCAGAGAGAGAGACCAGAGAGAGAGACCAGAGAGAGATCAGAGAGACCAGAGAGAGACCAGAGAGAGAGACCAGAGAGAGAGACCAGAGAGAGACCAGAGAGAGACCAGAGAGAGACCAGAGAGAGACCAGCGAGAGACCAGAGAGAGACCAGAGAGAGACCAGAGAGAGACCAGAGAGAGACCAGAGAGAGACCAGAGAGACCAGAGAGAGACCAGCGAGAGACCAGAGAGAGACCAGCGAGAGACCAGCGAGAGACCAGCGAGAGACCAGAGAGAGACCAGAGAGAGACCAGAGAGAGACCAGAGAGAGACCAGAGAGAGACCAGAGAGACCAGAGAGAGACCAGAGAGAGACCAGAGAGAGACCAGAGAGAGACCAGAGAGAGACCAGAGAGAGAGACCAGAGAGAGACCAGAGTGAGACCAGAGAGAGACCAGAGAGAGACCAGAGAGACCAGAGAGACCAGAGAGAGACCAGAGAGAGACCAGAGAGAGACCAGAGAGAGATCAGAGAGACCAGAGAGAGAGACCAGAGGGACCAGAGAGAGAGACCAGAGAGAGACCAGAGAGAGAGCAGAGAGAGAGCAGAGAGAGACTAGAGAGAGACCAGAGAGAGAGCAGAGAGAGACCAGAGAGAGAGACCAGAGAGAGACCAGAGAGAGACCAGAGAGAGAGACCAGAGAGAGACCAGAGAGAGACCAGAGAGAGAGCAGAGAGAGACCAGAGAGAGAGCAGAGAGAGACCAGAGAGAGACCAGAGAGAGAGACCAGAGAGAGACCAGAGAGAGACCAGAGAGAGAGACCAGAGAGAGACCAGAGAGAGACCAGAGAGAGACCAGAGAGAGAGCAGAGAGAGACCAGAGAGAGAGCAGAGAGAGACCAGAGAGAGAGACCAGAGGGACCAGAAAGGGGAAAAAGAGAGAACCTCAGGACTCAGATAAAGACAGAATGTTGTGTCTGGTTTTTTCACATTTTTCTTCCAGACTCTTCATGTTATTTATGAGACTGAAGTTACGTTTCTCAGCTCTAACATGTGTGTTGCTGGTGTCTGTGCGTTGCCGGTGTCTGTGCGTTGCCGGTGTCTGTGCGTTGCCGGTGTCTGTGCGTTGCCGGTGTCTGTGTGTTACTGGTGTCTGTGCGTTACTGGTGTCTGTGTGTTACTGGTGTCTGTATGTTGCTGGTGTCTGTGTGTTACTGGTGTCTGTGTGTTGCTGGTGTCTGTGTGTTGCTGGTGTCTGTGTGTTGCTGGTGTCTGTGTGTTGCTGGTGTCTGTGCGTTGCCGTTGTCTGTGCGTTACGGGTGTCTGTGTGTTACTGGTGTCTGTGTGTTGCTGGTGTCTGTGCGTTGCCGGTGTCTGTGCGTTGCCGGTGTCTGTGTGTTACTGGTGTCTGTGTGTTGCTGGTGTCTGTGTGTTACTGGTGTCTGTGTGTTGCTGGTGTCTGTGTGTTGCTGGTGTCTGTGCGTTGCCGGTGTCTGTGCGTTACGGGTGTCTGTGTGTTACTGGTGTCTGTGTGTTGCCGGTGTCTGTGCGTTGCCGGTGTCTGTGTGTTACTGGTGTCTGTGTGTTGCTGGTGTCTGTGTGTTGCTGGTATCGTTACCTTCTCTCCCTTCAGTCCTGGGCGTCCGATGAGCCCCTCCTGACCGGGCACACCAGGAAGACCCTGTACACAGGTCCACGTCAGAGATACAGCAACTCTATATACAGAATATACAGGGTCTGCAGCTGTGTATGAGGGTCTGTGTATGAGGGTCTGTGTATGAGGGTCTGCAGCTGTGTATGAGGGTCTGTGCATGAGGGTCTGCAGCTGTGTATGAGGGTCTGCAGCTGTGTATGAGGGTCTGTGTATGAGGGTCTGCAGCTGTGTATGAGGGTCTGCAGCTGTGTACGAGGGTCTGTGCATGAGGGTCTGCAGCTGTGTATGAGGGTCTGCAGCTGTGTATGAGGGTCTGCAGCTGTGTATGAGGGTCTGCAGCTGTGAATGAGGGTCTGCAGCTGTGTATGAGGGTCTGCAGCTGTGTACGAGGGTCTGTGCATGAGGGTCTGCAGCTGTGTATGAGGGTCTGTGCATGAGGGTCTGCAGCTGTGTATGAGGGTCTGCAAGTGTGTATGAGGGTCTGTGTATGAGGGTCTGCAGCTGTGTATGAGGGTCTGCAGCTGTGTATGAGGGTC